ATTGGCATGCTGCAATTTCGTCAGGCGCTATAATTGCGCCCTTCTTGGAGAAGGTGCCCCAGCACCTGTCCAAGTGCACAATATTCTACCGTGCTAGGCGTACTTTCCCTTGAACGCCTTGTCGGTTCATCCTGCCATCTGCTTTTAGTGATAACTTTGGTGTATTTCGTATTGACCCTTCCTAGAAACCTCGAATATTGCTTACCGTTTGACAAAAAAATCGTTTGCGAATGCTATGCATTTTCAGGAAGAGGTCGTGCAGCGCGCCACTCTCATAGCACATGATGCAACCACAGAAATCGGGCGGACACCTTAATTAGGGGAGGGGTGGGGTTCGTGTGGACAATTTTTCATAGAAGGGGTTGTACCGACCGGACTATTTTTGCGACTTTATGCCTCGATCCTAGGTTTACGTAGGGCCATGCTGCTGCCGACCAAGGATGCGCATCAGCGCCCTCCCCCACCGAAATAGTGTTTCCAACGGGCTTAGCCATAGAAGACGGAGCACAGACGTCAGCACTGAATGCGGCTTAAGCCTCACCTAGTCAGCTGGAGAAACTGGAGAAAGTTTCGGAAAATGATAAGTAGGTAAGAAGACGGGAAAACCTAGGAAGATGATAGCTAGGACGGGGAGGCGGTCCGTATCGGAAGAATAAAATTGGCAGGGGGAGATCGTCTGACACAATATTTCTCCCATCTCAATGCTGTATCCTGTTTCCATGCTGTCCAGATTCAGCCGCGCATATAAATTAGGAACTGTTATATGTGAAAATTGGGGCTACGTAAAAAATCATGCTAGGCAACGGATCATGATTGCGAAGGATGGGCATGTGTCAACAGTCCCAGAGACACACAAGATAACCCCAGCTCCGCCCAAATGGGCGGGGCGTGCGCCGAAGTGGACGGTGTGGACTAAAATTCCTAAAACGCATCCAAAGCAACCCAAGGAATGGGCATGGAGCAACATTTGCAAAGCACGTGCAAAGTAATGGGAGCTTCGTTCACAGTGGGTGTGCTCCCCAAGTAAACGGTGCCGAAGATAGACCAAGATCAAATACGACCTCCATTCCCACAGCGACCAAACACAACCCTCTTATTGGCGAATCCCAACGGTGATGTGTCCCCGGGGGAAATATCTACTTCACACGCTAATTAGCTTCAGCTTTCTGAGACTGTCGTCGCCTCCTTTTGCAAAATTGATTCGGCTGAATGTTCTCAATTACTGCATGTGGCTGAATCTGCTCAACGCCCGATCTTCATCAACACTTACCGAGAAAGTACGGCGAATATAGAGGTGTCACCCCTCCATGACGGAAAATTCGATGCGCTCTCTTCGCTGTAAAATAACAGCCACACTCAAAAAGAACTACCGCTTCCCCTGCGTTTTTAATGTGGGTAAATACTTGACGACACTATATTTGTGACTGTTCTCAGTCCCCGTTCACTTGTCGTCTCCGTGGACTCTTGGAACAAATTCTCAGCCGAATCCCCCTGATACCGTAGAGATTCCACTGCGGTGTGTGTGTGCTGTGAGAATACTCTACGGCTTTATCGATATACCGTACCCCAGGAATGCAGTGACGAATTTCGGCGTCATCCCTGGAGCTGCCGATTTTATCTTTTTCTTTTTTGTGCGGGTTTCTTTTCCTTTACTTCTTCGCTAGTCTTTCTTCCCTTCTTCGTTCAGAAATTCCTAGTGATTAGTTTTGTTCACAGAAGCGGTGACCCAGACTAAGAAATACCATATTTAGTACTCTCGCCAAACAGGATTCATGCAGAATGCAAGCTCCTTTTCCCATTTCAAGCTTAACTAGAAGCCTATCCCTCTGAAACACAAGCCCTTTTGCCCCACATTGCCACTTCTTGCTAAAATAGCTCTAAATTTTCCCTCCGCGATTGATTCAGTCGAAAGCCCGTGTTATGAGTTAAAAGACATTTTGATCATGATTGCCTGTTTCACGTCAAACGTGATTAAACGGCAGCTAAAACAAAACACTTTTTGTGCTGCTCTGCTTTCAGTTAAAAACGTGAATATTTCTCAATCTTTAGGAAATATTAGAAACAATAGTGAAAGCAAGTTCTCAACTTGAAACCGAGCTTTAGCACTTCATTTTCGTTACCCTTGGATTTTCAGTCGTTTACAGTACTTTCGCTTACATACGCGTCTGAAATATTGAGCAGAGATTTTGTATATCTAGAGTTGTGTGAAGAAACTAGTCAAAATGGAATCTTTTAAGTTCGAAGCCCCTGCTGCGTCAGGCCGCGTTCAGTGCTTGCGACAGTGAAGAAATGCGGAATCTGCAGAAATGACGAAAAGCATTAGATACGACTCGAAAATTTCTGCAAAGTCCGCATTCTACGTTTCTTCATTTCTCCAAATCGATACGTCCCGAATGTTTTTCGTCATTCCTGCAGATTCCACATTTCTTCAATTCCGCATTTCTGCATTCCTTCACGGTCGAGCTATGAACGCGACCTACTGATACAGTTTGAAATCAGAGAAAAAATTTGAAGAAAAATTTCAATAAAAACTTGGGTGGTTCATTACCCCGTTTGCAGAAGCCATAGTAAAATTGCGTTCATACTTTACATCAGCGTTTCGAGCGACTAGGAAAGTAGAGTATCGATCTAGCGTATGTCGACGTGTTAAGCCGCGTTCATACATGACGATGTTGCAAAGTGACGAAATTGCAGACAGAAATGTATACGTATCGATTTGAAAAACCACGTTTCTCTCAATTCTGCGGAATTTGATGAAATGCCGCAGAACTGAGAGAAACGACGGACAAAGAAGTGTTAAGGATCGATCTCTTAGCCTCACCAGTGGAATTTCTGGCATTTCTGCACATTCTGCTATTTCTGCAAATCTCGTGGTTTTTTGAAATCAATAGTTTATATTCTCCTGTCTTCTGCCAAATTCGCGGTTCTCCCGATTCCGGCAGGTCTGGCACATTCCGCGGTTCGCGTATGTCTGGTATTCATGCTAATGAAAGTGGGCTCTAGCGTTTTCGCGGGAAAATCAGCTCGAGCAAAACTGCTCACGAAAACGCTGGCATATGCGGCGTATAGGTCGAAATCTGTACATTCGTGGTCGCCCGAAACGTGGCGTACACTGACGCAAAGTATGAACGCAGACCAATTCATTCTATCCAAACGCTTGTCTGGTAAGAGTGACGAAATAATGTTGGGAAAGCTTCTAGCATCAGGCTTTCTTTGGTTAGAAATTGAACTGTGAGTCAGGCTGCAACTAAAAATTGTGTTAGTAGCATAGATGAGAAACAATTTCAGGGATGATTTAACATCCTGATTACGAATATGACATTCATTCTTGGCGCTGGCGCTAAACATTACGATTATCTGCCCTTTGCTAAGGCTGAGCCCACAGGACAATAGTGTAATCCTTTAGCCCTTTTAATCCTTTAGCTTTCCAGCGCCAAGAATGAATGTCATATTCGTAACCAGGATGTTAAATGAGTCCTGCATGCAAGTCTTCAGCGAATTTGGTGATCTAGGCACTTGTAAATGAGCGGCAGCAAAAGGCTGAGCGCGTCCGACGTCTCAGGACACTTTACAACGCGGAAGTTCCTTCTCCCTCTTTTTTCATTTCTCCTTCCTCACCCCCTTTTTTTTCTTTTCCTTCTCTCTTCTTTCCTCCTCTTTGATTTATCCCTTCGATCTGAGACGTATAGCATGTCATGAGGAGAATCTTCTACGCCTAGTAGCGAGAGCATGCGGCTGAACAAGAGCCCTAACTCTTTGTCGCAGAGTATGAAGTCAGCCTGTTCATTTCAGAGTTAGTTCTAGTAGGCAAAGTGGAAAGACAGAAAATGGTCAAAAAGCATTACGCGGAACCCATTTTGAGTTGTTTCGAAAGATCGCTTTGTCCTGGCAACAGTGTATCCCTTCATTACATCAGAATTCTGCTATTATTCATTACGAAATCAATTACTGGGAACCGCAAATTCAAGGGGTCGCTGATAGGAGCTGCACTTACCCGTTCCATTCGGGCATGTGTGGGTTGAAATACGTGGTATTTTGGGACAGCCATTTTATCCAAAATCTTATGTCACGCTTTCTGTAGTGTGCAAATTCATATTAGTTCCTTCTTGTGAATTAAAAGTTCCTCACTCCAATGTTCGTTACTTGCCGTGTTTGTTTAGCGATTTTGGCACGCTAGGAGTATTTTGGTTTTACATTTTTCTAGTTGGCACGTGTTTCGAGGAGGACTGGCTTCACGATACTACTATCATGCCAGAAGAAAACGGCAATCTGACGACTGCTAAGGATGGGGTAACTGTCTTTTCTTCTTATTACCTCTCAAATGAAAGGAATTATTTCGTTACAGCTTTAGTAAAACAAGTTTCAGAAAAATGCCCAAAAAAGGATCAACGGAACTGAGCGCGATACGGATGAACAGAAGACAAGGTTTTGTAATTCTTACGTGAGACATGGAAAAATAACGTTTTTATCAATAAACCCTTTTCAGAAATAATGATTGTAGCTCCGAACCCAGGGGATTGTGGATGCCACAGGTAAGTACTACCTACAGAGTGGAGAAAAAACCTGGAACAAGACAAAAAAATTGACATTTTCAACCGTTTTACTTGTTTTTTTTTCTCCTCTGAGTCCATGGCAGTAGGAACAGGGTTTGAAAAAAGAATTCCATGGCATAACCATCCTACTATATATAATCCGCTAAGTTTGTCTGTGGTTGTGTGTGGTGTGTGTGTGTGTGTGTTGTGCAGACATGATGTGTGTGTGTTGTGTGTTTGCCAGCCGCGCATGGTGTGTGTGTGTGTGTGTGTGTGTGTGTGCCCCAACATCAAGGCCTGTGATTTGTGACTGACTGTTGTGTTGCTTTTGAACGGAAATCATAACTTCCTATCGAATTAGCCCAAAAAGAGTTTCCACATCTGGATAAGTGAATAAATAAGGGGTAGGACGTGAACATCCATTGCGGTGGGTAAGCAGAGTGATAACAGCTGACAAGACTGACAAGGAGCCTTAAAAGGGGGCGGATTGCCAGATTTGTGACTCGCGTCACTGCAACGGTAGAACGCTAGTTCCAACAAATGATGTGAGGGGGGTTGGGAACAACAATGGTGGGTGCCAGGAGGTGATAACAGCTGACAAGGAGCCTTAAAAGGGGCGGGTTGCCAAATCATGACTCGCGTCACTGCAACGCTGGGACGGTGGTTCCAAGAAATGATGTGAGGGGCAGGTTGGGAACAATATAGTGGGAGGCAGACAGTGATAATAGCTGATAAGATACCACAGGGACCACTCAAGAAAGGAATTCCCTGAAACGTTTAGCTTAAGTTGTAGCCACAGTGTTAGAGCTTCCAGCAGTGGTTCAGGGGTGGTTAGAGATCATTGATGGTGGGAAATAGGTTGTGATATAGTGCCTGATAAGTGCTTATAAGCATGGGTCAAGATGTTTATGTCCTAGCGATACAGCCGAGACGGCGACCGCTAAACTCTCGAGTTTTGACAGAAAGTTAAACCGTAAAGATGTTTCCCTATAGTGATAAGAGCCACTACGTGGGAACTGCTTTACCATTACAATACCATCTTGATACTGTTACCATCGAAATTCTTTGAGCCGCAAAGCTGCCCGTATTTCAACGAATGATGGGTGTTTTAAGAAGTGCGATAAGCACGACGGGTCAGCACAGAGATCCGTCAGTGACCAGTAGCATAGGTTTAGCCATGCGCGCAGTAGTGCGCGTCAGCCAAACTGGTATGAATAGATTTGGCAGAGGGAAGGTTTTGTGGAGGTAAGCGGCGCCACCTACCAGCTGCGACCTTCCAACCAAGCGCCAGCCGGACTTTTCACCGCTTTTGAGCTAGCTAGCTTCCACCAGGCTTTTCTGGGAGGATACGCACTTTGAAATGTGTCGACCACACAAGCTTCTGTGTGAGCAACCACGAATCCTTCCTTCTAAAGCACTGTCCTTCCGAGTTTTTTTCGTACAGTGAAGTTTCGAATCTTCTACCGGCTGGTATTGTGCTGGTATGTTCTTTTGTATACGGGATGCGCCATGTCCGATTATGAGTTAGTCACAGTTGACTTACTGAAAGGCCAGTTTTTTCGAAGTGTTCTTTTCCCTTTACTTAGAGTTCCCTCTTTTACAATACACACTTCTCTTTTCTTTCTACAGCTTCAGAAACTGCAGAAACTAATCATTGTCAAAACTGTAGAAACCAACCCTTAGCCGCTAGAGCTGCGCTAGCGATGCACTATTCTGTCCAGATCTTAAATCAATTAGCTTTATTCCTTAAAAGAGCACAGTTAGAAGTACTCCATCTGAGGAAGCTAAACTTCCGTGGGCAATTTTCAAAGGTTTGGCAGACCTATTAGAAAGCACAGCACGACTTTGGTTGTTCCATTTCTTTTTTCGCTACTGTTTAGCTGGTTCAACTATTCTCCAGCGGAACAGGCGTCGTATTCGGTCTCTGGAAGAAGGAATGAGGTTGTTCGCGGTCAGAAAATTTTTTTTTGAAATTTGGTTTTTCCCTTTTCATGGGCGCGTTACTCCCTCCCCGCAAAATTCTTGGGAAAAACTGGAAATTTATGGAAATATTTCGATAACGGCAGCAGGAAGCCCGGAAAATTTGGCAAGAGAGACAAGGTATTAGGGGAGGGTCGTACAGGGGACGAAAGTTGGGGAGGGGGTCGTATTTCCCGGAAATTTCCCCCAGCGGCAGAACGTGCCCTGTGGTCGCCGGTGGTGGGATATTGCATTTGCCTCCAAAGAAATGCCTTCGCTGTTGATTTTTTACTGGTGTTGTTGATTTCTGTTTTTTTTTATGTGCAGTTTCTCCTATTTCACGTGCGCCTATATACGCTCTTCCCCCGCTCCCGCTCGACAGTCGTACCAGAGGAGGAAATTCTCGTATCTTGCAAAATTTCTCCCTAATGCCAAGTCGTGCCCTGACATTAGAACAACCTCCGTAGGATTCATCTATATTGTTTGCTAACATAGTGCGTTGTATGCTATGGTAGTTCCAGTCGTTCTGAAGAATTACGCATTTCCGCATTGTTGTCAGTGAATTTTTAGGAGATGTTCATTCTGTTTTTTACCAGTTTCACATCGTTTACGCGTCGCTTTGTAATTTTGGGATCCCATACGTGCATATTTCACGCTATCTCAACTGCAGCGTTTTGCGTAAGATGGTTTCTTTTAGGACGACATGAAAACATCATCGGATAGAGACGATATGGTTGTTCTTGACGAATGCGGCGAAGGTGACGAAACAGTTGAGTCGGAGGACAAGTCAAAAGGGGAGACTAACGAAAGTGCAAAACTAGCTGGAGAGCAAGTTCAGATCACGCTAGGCCCTAAAAAGAAGCAGAAGATTTTCAGGGTGCATTTTGCTATTCATCTACAATTTTGGATTTGGCTTATTTTTCACAAAGTTTGGTGAAATTTTAGCGAAAAGTAGTTCGTGTGCCGAAAGAGGTATTTGATTTCATGGCAAGAACAGAAGAGGATGGAACCGTCAGATTTAATGTGACTCAATTATCTGTCTTCTTCACGAATGAGATGTCCGAAAAGGCTGTGCCGGTGAGTTCTTATGATTGTCGTAAGCGTATTATTGCACTTTCGTTGACTCCACAGCGAAGAATTGCGATTTTTGTGTTCTGGATGACATGTGGTGCGTATTTAGGTCCTAGCAGATACTTGGGACACAACAGACATTGTTCCGATCATGGATGTCAGCGTTCCACCGACAGCGAAGGCGAATCCGGCTATGATTGTAGAGTAAGTAAAAATGTTTTCGATGTTCCTGTATATTCTCACCTTCACAGAGCTCATAAAATTTCCCTAATTTTTTGCAGTTATTTTTCCAATGAACCAAGTGAGCGTGAAAAGGAGGAAGAGAGGCTGCAAGATATTCTGGAGGTCGGTTTTTTGGTGCCAGAAGCCGTTCCATGCTTTGGTTCGTTCTCAGGAGGGCTTTTTTCAAGCTCCTGCATGTAAATTGGTCTATTTTGTAAAGTCCCGTAAACTTTAGCTGGAAAGTTTTGCCAATTTAATTTGGTATACTAAATATAATATAGGATGCAACTCACCTTGCCCCCAAACACCCAAGACATTTAGGTCCACAATACAAGAATCAGAGCTTTCCTTCTAATGTAAACACTTCGCAAAAGTATCGCCCACCTAGGTGGAATATGAGCTTCTTCCGCTCTACTCTAAGCAAAAACTCTTGTTTGGCTCGCCGCCATTCTTTCTCTGTACCTTTTAAAGGCACGTTCCGCGATAAACTAAGGCTAGGTTCTCATAACCGTGCACGATGGTCAAGCAGGCAACGTCAGAGGCTATGCTGCTTTTAAAAGTTGAAAAACAGCAAGCAAAACGCAGGGCGCTCAGGTTTTAGGCCCATTTGCGCCCGATAGGCCCATGCCGGCCTCCAGTGACCGTGTCGTTGTGAGACTGCCATTGCGCTCTCTCGCCCGTCGTTTTCTGGCCTCTCGTCTCTTATCAGTGTATCGCCGCCTTTCGCAATTCACAATTGATCTTGACCACCTTACGCTCGTCCGGTGATCATGATCAATTGCAATAAAGAGGGTCTTATTGCGGGCGCTTTTTCGTGCTTCCTTCTCTTCAAGTCAACAAACACACAGGCAATTCTATTTTTGAACTGTATTACCTATGAACTGTGGTCGCGGGAATTGCTTCTAAGTAGAAAAAATCGTAGAAATGGCGGACGAGTTGAACTGCAACTTGTAGGGGTTTGAAGGTTTTAACAAAACTGCCTAGTATGTCGATAGGGTCTGAAAGATAATCCTTTATTAGAATAAATTTCGTTCTATTTGGACGATGATTATTTTTCAGACTCGAAAGAGGAACGCAGAGAAACAAAAACAGCTGGAAGCCGCGATTGCCTCGGGCGCCGTGGTATGTTTGCCGAAACTTCTTTTCTGGGTCATTTCAGTTTTTAAAATTACATATTTAGGTATTACCTGCGAAGAGCAATGCAGATAAAAAGGCTAATATAAATACGAAGAAACCGCCTGTGAAGGCCGCTGAGCAAATGGTGAAAACGGGCACTGACCGGGCCATCCTCGTCGTCGGATGTGAAAAAGGGCATTGACTGGGCCAAGCCATCGGATAAGTACGTTTTTTATGTTCTTACCTATGTTCCGATATTAGTGTTTGAATCCCCGCTAGTTTTGTTTTTATCGTCAGAACTGTGCTACAGTGTTTGGCGATGAAAGTGAAATATGTTGGGGAGGAGTACCAGAAGCAGAGTTCAACGTTTTCTACTTGTGAAACTCTGGCAATCCTGTTGATTTTCTTTGTCAAGAAGGTCCGAGCAGGTTCCCTTCTCTGAAACGTCAAGGACCTCTTTTCACGTTCCAGACCTACTTTCAAAGAAACGTTAGGTGGAAAAGAAAGTCCTTGCAATACTCGAAAGGTAGTATTGAACTGAGTATCTCTTCAACGACTGAAAAAGTTACCCAAAAGTCTTGGGTCCATCGGCTTTCATGGAAGCAAGAGCTCGATCTCATTCTCGAACTGACGTCAGTTATGAGTTTTCTTGTTTTCTAGTGATGTATTCGTGCAGTAAGTAAATG